CTGCGTTGGGAATTAAAAAAACGGGCGTATTTCTCCCGTGTTTTTTTTTCTCTCTCACCGCTTGCACCGCGTGACTATTCAGGCACCGAAGTTTCAATCTGCTTCCCACGAGCTTCATCTACAAGAACTGACGGAGCAGCTTGCGGCCGCGGTCTCTCTCAGCTACGTCGTCGCCGTTATGCCGCTGATGATGTTTGGTGTTGACCGGCCGATGTCCGCCGTTAGCTTCGTCACACGTGTGGCACACGAGCTGGTCGCTTGTGTATATGTTGTGATACCGGAGAGTGCTATCTTGTAGGGGTCCCTTGCCGATGCAAGTTTCAGCTGTTCACCAGCATTGGTTCGAGCAAGCATGACTCTGCTGATGAGACGCTGAATATCAAAACTGCTCCATTGTTTGCTTGCAAGGCCGTAATTATAATATATATTGGGGGGGGGGGGCACATCCCCCCCACGCCAATATTCAAATATGCTCAAAATGTCCCCCCCAAAATATATCGCTATAAAATAGATTTCTGTTTATATGATTGTGGTTATGGTTGTACTTTATGAATCCCTAATCTCTGTCATTACATACAATGAAACAAGAAAAGGTAAAACAGAAAAAACAGAGCAATGTAATACAATACACTATTAGACATTATTGTAAAAAATAAATAAAACGTCCATCCCATGTGTTAGTGAATTTTTTTATATTTTAGGCAGGAAATTAGTTTCCAAATTTAGATTTTTGTTTCTGGGTTGGGACTCCCAGACCCCCTGGAAGATTTGGTCCCCCCCAATGTTGACTCCATGGCTACGGCCGTGTTTGCTTATATCGAACAGTGCCTGCTGATAAGATGCGATCCCAGAAGGCCGTGCAGCCAATGGGATGTAGGGAAATTTAAAAATAAAACATTTTGTGAAGAGGCAAATATGGGAAAGAGGCATTCTTTCTCCCACGCAATGCGAGGGTGACGCACCTCTATATAATCGAGGGAGAACATGAAACTATGCCCAATCAGTTCCTGAAGAAGCTCCCAGCAAATGGAGAAAAAACGTCGGACATCACACTGAACAGCACGGGGCCCAACCTGAAAACACGAGTGAGACCCCTGCCAGCACAACCCTCAAAAAGCTCCGTGGTGGTTATCTTACGTGCATGTTTAATCACCCCTTAGCCATGTTTCACACTCCACCTAGTTATTTATTTGACATTTTAGCTTCGCCTATAAAACACGAGGGGGGGGGGGGTGATCGTATTCACCGACCTTATAAATAAGCGCCGAGTTCGTGACAACACGTTACGTAATGTTTAAAAATAAGAATATTTAATGGCATAGTTATAAACCATTTGAGTTAACCGTCCAACTGAATTTGTTGGCTGTACGTGGTGGAGAGTGCTCTAAAACGACCTGTGAAACGGACCGCTGTAGAATTAAGAGGGGGAAACGGCATTGAAATAAAACCAAACGTGCAAGTGAAGGTTATTTAAAATGTCACGCTGCGCCTAAGAGTTTATATTGCGCCCCTTGACCCTTCCAAGGGCAAGTCGGTGTTGTGGAACAAGTGTGACACACACGTTATCAAATTTTAGTTTTTTTTGCGAAAAGTTGCGCTCATCGTTATTATGATGATGACGGTAAAACACGGTTTGTATGTGAAAAATGTCAAACGTTAGCGAATATTAAATTACCCACTCCTTATCAAATGTTTGTTTTATTGCAAAAGTTGCTCTATCATTATTATTATGATGATGATGGCAAAACATTGCTTTCGTTAGCTCACGCACACGTTTTTTCTCGAAAAGTGCTGAAACATTCGTGAAGAATAAATGAAGAACAAAAACCCTCCACTCCTCAGGGCCAGTACAAGTACATTATAAGACAATGACAACTATTCATGAGATACGAGCGTGCAGTCGCGGATGGTTATGTCGAAATTATTGAAGTGTCCTTGGTTTCTGTCAAGGGTATAAAGTCAGCGGAGGGAGCGTTCACGCGGTGACTGGTGCACTGTACTACGAACCGAGTGACCTGAGTTCCATTGCCCCACACGGCAAAAACAGGCGGTAGCGAGTGATATGTCAACTGCTTCTGGCCCCCCTCCATAGCTTCACCAAGCCCGCTGCTCTCACGACACCGTGGCACAGCATGGTCAAACGAATCCACACGACAAACGTGTATTGGGGAGACCTTCGTCCCGCAGTGGATTGATAAAGGAACTGTAAGTTATTACGAGTTTAACCCTGCCAATTCCCCGATCTTAAGACCTGCGATTGAGGGAAAGATTAACGCGGACACGGCTGCGCATGAACGCAAACGCTACGAGTGTCCGCTCGTGTTGGGAACGACCCCTCGGCCGCCACGTCCCACGCGGCGGGCCGCTGGGACCTCTTGGCGTTTCGGCCACGGCGAGCGGTGCGTCGGAGCCCCCCCTCGCCCCCCCCTCCGGCACACTCTGTCCTCCTCTCCATGGGACATCGGTGTGTGGGGCAGCCGTAAGAGCGGTGAACGGCTGGATGACTACGGGCAGGGGACGCTCTGTGGCGCTGAGATTTGGCACCAGCTGGTGGGAAAGGTCACTCGTGATGGAGGTTTTTTTTTAGGGTTATATCTCGTAAATAGATAAATGTGTGCTGATAAATGTGACGAATTGGCACGTGCTGTTTACGTGACAACCCTTACTAGTTGGTTGTGTCGGGTGGTAGTTGGTTTTAACGACACATTTATATATTTTTACGCGATCTAACCCAAAAAAAACTCTATTGTGGATGATATTGGTCGCGAAAGCCTCGTACTTGTTAAACTGGGAAGCTCCGCTGTCCATCGTGATGAACACGAGCGTAATGTTGCGAATGAACTTTGTTCGCAAGCCGTTAAGACGGCTCTTTGGGGATTTCGCCATTGATGCCTCTCGGCTCTCTAATGCGCGTCAACCTGAAATGAACTCGCTAACTGGGTTGCTTTGACTAAAAATCACATTACAACAATAATAACGTCGAGGGTTTTGTTATACTCTAATAATACTAATACACGCATGGCAGCGTGAAGCCTATGAAGCATGAGTTTGCATCCTCATTAGCCATGTGCGTTTTTGGATATTAGGCAACATGCAGTTGCAAATTGCGATAGTTACGTGCAAACAAATAACAGAGCTAATTCATTAAGGAATGTAGCAGTTTTACACCATTCAAATTGTAATGGTGTTTTTATTGTTGTTGCAAATATATTACGTGAAAGCTATCGGGAGGTTTTTTTTTTAATGAAGCAGCAGTATTACATTTCAAGCTTTCAAATGGGGCGCAGCGATATTTAAGATGTCGGTGAGCATAAACATATCCAGTGGTAGACATTATAACCCCTCCAAGTGTGGTGCGCAAGCTCTTAGTCTGGAGAGAAAACAGTGAATTACATTTGTCACATGAGAAGCTGATACAAAATTAGTTTTATCTCTTGTTTCGATTGAAAATGCGCGGTTGCAATTTGCCAAATGTTGGTCAAGGCTTGCAAAAAATAATGCACGTACATATTGTATCCTTCAAATTACTATAATATGCTCCAGCGAGTAAGATGCACCCCAAACGTGTGCTCTGTGTCAATAATGTTATTTAAATTGGGTCACACACACGCACGCACGCACACACGCACACACACACTCACACACACACGCACACACACGCATGCAGTAATCCGGAGAATGCGGCGACTCTCACTGGGGTATGATCTTAAAAGTCAAATTATCGTACGTTGAACTCAAAGACACACATGGAGAGAAAATATGTTGTTACACTGCTACCGATTTTGTTGAAACATGTTTGTGCGTCATTCCACAATGAACTTGAGCAATGAAGTAAATTATGGATGAGCCTTTGCGATAGCTCAAAGAATGGCATGAATACCGCACTTTTTTTTAAACACAGAGGCTGAACATTGGCCCAAAACGTCAAAACGGCCAGCAACCAACAGCACTTGTCAAAATTGTAATAAATACTTGCTTAACGTGTTTTTTCAATTGAGCAAGGCCAATCATTATTTAAAACAAAAGCTTGGCAAAAGAGACGATGGTGGAAGGAGGGAATTCCGCAGTCGAGCACTGCCAGGGAAGAAACAGAAAGAGAAGCAGCATCTTGACCTGCACGGGTGACTGAGTGGCTGGGCGGGGGAGCTTGTTGTTGTGACCTGCGGCATTGTGATTGAACACGACATTGATGAGACAAATATGTACGGTGCATGAGCCGTCGTTTTTACGACGGGAGTTCAACCCCGGGGTGCCACAGTGGTTAGAGTGGTGCCGCGGTGGCTATGAGATGCTAGCGAGCTCACCTGGTATACAGGAGTCATGGGTTCGATCTCGACCCTGACGCCTGCTGTATATTTGAAGTTTGCAGTCTAGAATCAACGTGCATTTGTAGAGTATTCGGCTGCCATGAACTTCCACGTGATAAGCCACTTCGTTACGCTATCATTTGTGGCGGCCAGGTCGCGTCTGAAAAAGAGCTATTCAGCTCAGTGGGCCCTAACTCCGATTATCACACCATTGGAACTTCATTTGCCAGTAACAAAATATGATAATAGTTTTTTTATCCTTTTATCTGGCAAAAAAACTGACACCTTTTTTACAAGGAGTCATGTTTGCATTGACCACAGTACCTGCAGTCGGAATGCGAACAAAAAACATAACTCTGATAATGTAAAAGGCGCCAAAAGGCGTCATCTGGTCCAACACCATGTGAGACTAGGCTCTAAGAAAAGCTGTCTCGGGTGTGGACCAATCAATTTCAAGGACAGTGCATACATTATCAGAGTTATGTTTTTTGTTTGCATTCCGACCGCAGGTATTGTGGTCAATGCAAACATGACTCCTTGTAAAAAAGGTGTCAGTTTTGTTGCCAGATAAAGGGTAAAAAACCAATGATCTGATTGTCACGTTTGGCTACGCACGGTTCGAAAGAAGTTCAGCGTAAACATGCACGTACAAAATAGTTGTTTGTTATAGGGTCCTCCTCGTTCTCCCTGCAGGCGATGAGAGCGAGGAGGAGCTGTCCATGCGCGCCATCTGCACGATGGACAGCGAGATTGGGCCCTGCCGGGCCCTCATCCCGCGCTTCTTCTACAACCGCTACACGCAGCGCTGCCAGGAGTTCGACTTTGGCGGCTGCAACGGCAACGCCAACAACTTCGAGACGTACAAGGAGTGCCGCATGGCCTGCAGGACAGTGCAGAGTAGGTGCCCGCACTCACCACGCCACCGTCACCGCCGCCGGCGGCTATCGAGGGCAATGAGCGCTCAGGCAGTTTGTTGTCCTTCCCCCGCACAATTAGATTAGCGGGGTCAGCTGCGCACGGCGCGAAAGAAGTTCAGCGTAGAGTACGTACGTAACCCCCGGTGGCCTCACGTGTCGGAGAGACCCCACATGCCGAAGGGCCCCACGTGCCAGGGCGAGATATTGTGTTGTTTCTAAACCCATAGAATTTGGCCCCCGGGGTCAGAATACTTTATCTTATATGAACCTTGGGATACATGGGATATGTTCACCTCCCCCGCCCCCTCTCCCCTGTCAGCCCCCCCCCCTCGTCCTCACCTCCTGCACCTCCCCCTGGGTTGAGTTTACTATGTTGGGTTAGGGTCTCTGCTCATGGTTTCTCACAAAGCTTGTTCAGTTTGGCTTTTGTCAGCATTAATGCGCAACTCCTAAATGAGCTGTATGCCCCAAAATAATTGCAGCTGTGAGAAAAGTGGCGAGTGGCTTGAAGGACCATGCGGAGGGTGCGGTTCTAATAATAATTATTTACAGTGTCCTGACTCCCAAGGTCAGAAATCTACAGGGGTCTAAACGCTCTCTCACACGGGGCTATGAAGAGGGGGGGGGGGGTGGAAGGCAGACAGATTACCCTAATTAGTAAGGCCCAGCTCCTTTTCAGAAGTTATAGCTCAACAAGGTGGCTTAACATGTGGACATTTATAGCAGCCAAATACTGAAAATTCATGTTTTTTGAAATGTGGAGGGAAAAACCGGACGACCCGGAGAAAAATCAAGGCGACCACAGGAAGAGAGAGACGCGCAAACTCCAAATGTACAGTAGGTGTCAGGGTCGAGAACGAACCCACGACCTCCTGCACACCAGGCGAGGGATTTAACATCTCGCCACCGCGAACCGACTGCAGTGCAAGGATGAGCCCCCCTGAGCACGTGGTTGTGGTGAGAACGCCCGCTTGCCACCAGCGCTATTTGTGTATTACGTTGAACTTCTTTCGCACCGTACGTAGCCAACTGTGGTAATCAGAGGTGCGGGGAAAGGACAACAAACTAAACACAAAAAGCAGTTCTAGGTCCATTGGCTTACTAATATGGGACAGAAGAGCATTCCAGACGGCTGCATCTGAAAGCGTGTGATGCGGTGACCGTCTTGGTTCGCCAAAATCCGCTGCGAGGATGATCGGAGTTCGCGTGATGGTTTATGCTCCCTGAACGAGATCAGCGAGGTGTTGTGGTTCTTTTTTGGCGAGCACTTCGTGCGTAACGAGTGCGACCTCCTCATGTATTTGTTTGGCCACCAGAAACAAAGCAGCTCGGGCGAGCACTGAACGTCCGATCTTGCAGTACCCATCACGACACACGCCAGAGAATTTAGTCCCGCGGCGACATTCATCCGCACGCCCCCGCCATCGTCATCGCCCTTGCACGTCAGGTGTTTAAACTCCCCGCCATACCTCCCCCTCACCCCCCCCCCCCCCCCGTCGCAGGGGTGGCCAAGAAGTGCCGCTTGGAGCCGGAGACTGGCCGCTGCCGGGCCGCCATCACGCGCCACTTCTACAACATGACCACGGGCCAGTGCGAGAGCTTCGTCTTCGGCGGCTGCGGAGGCAACGACAACAACTTCCGCACCACCGAGGAGTGCGTGGAGAGCTGCAGGCGCCCCAAGACCAGAGGTCCGTGCGCCGCTGGGCCTACGCGTGATGCGTGCGGCCCCCTCTGGGCCACGCCGTGCGGGTGGCTGGCCTGACGGAGCTTCGACGCGTTTTAAGATACGTATGGCCCAGGAGACGCCCTGCGGCATTTTAGAAAAAATAATCGCGGTGCTTTTTTTTGAGTGCGTTTTTTTTTTAACTCCTCCGTTGCAGCAAGGCGACGTAAATGCCGATTGTGCTGCCGATGGATCCCTTCCGTTCACGGGGGAGCCCACGACCAGCGGGGGTTAGTACCGAGTCAATGGCCAGGAGTTGCCGTAGGTTAAATACGATTGGAGTTGCGGCGGAACTCCTCTTGTCCGTGACGAAGCGAGGGTGGGGGCCGACTTCACCGGAACCTATCTGGAATCTAACCGATAACCACGGGGAAGCGTTCATGAGTAGGACACTTCCCCCAACTCCCACCGTGGGACTGCGCCCCTGGCCAGTGAGCATGCGCTGGTGCACGGTGGAGACTCGATAAGGTCGGGGGGGGGGGGTGGTTAGGATCACGGCAATCAATTTCGATCAACGGGAATCTGCTCCGCACGTGATTAGTTAGGTACGCGGCACCGAGGGGAACGGAAAAGGAGACAACTACAAATCGGAGGAGTTGACCCCAAGTTCGAACTATCGCATTTGTGCACGCCATAGGCGTGCGAGGTTTTTCACCGTCACGCGGCGGGGGGCGGGGAGGTGACGTGTGGTACGAGCTTGCGCGTGCACATTGATGCTTTTGCAAGGCCGTGAGGCAAAAGCAGCTGCACTCTTTGGGACGTGCGTGGAGGGTGGGAGAGGGCCACGAGTTGGGGTGGTCTCCACCACGTGACGGCGGCGATCGAGGGGAAAACCAAAGAGCACATGGCGTGGGGAAGGGGGGGGGACTCCTCGGTGGCGAGATGTTAACTCCCTCGCCTGGTATGCAGGAGATCGTGGGTTTGATTCCGACACTGACACCTGCCTGTACATATTTGAAGTTTAAATTTCGATTTAAAGCTTTCGTGACTGCAGGGATTTATCTTCTTGGTTCTTTCGGTAAAGTCACGTAGAAGGGAAATAATAAAGACAGCGTCTTCCCGAGAGACCTGTTCTTCACCCGAGGACGGCTGCTTGCGTTGTGGCCGAAACGTCGTGAGAATTATTTTATTATGTTTTATTTTTATTATTTTATTACTTCCCTTCTATTTGGAGTTTGCTTGTCTCTCTCCCTGTGGTGTATAGTATGAAAGGCCGAAACACCCTAAGACCCAAAGGTTCACTACTGACGATGCGCTCCCCAAATTTCACCAGGCTCACTGTTCATGAACTCTTGGAAGTGCTTGCACAAAGGATAGTAACATCTCATCCTGTGTTCTTTGGAATCTGGTCGTGTGGATATTTTTCAGGCTCCTCCCATTTTTCTCTCCACATTCAGAATGGACATCACGCATTTCGAGTTTTTGATTGCTAAACATTTCCGTGCGATAAGCCGATTCGTCGAGCTATCATTTGTGGCGGTCAGATCGCTTGTTAAAGCTCGGTGGGCCTTACCTGGTAAAATAAAAAATAGTCAAAAGTTTTTAGTTTCTACCGTCAGGGCAGATATTGGAGGTCACGTGTTGACTGTGCATCAGCGGTGGGATCGGGCGCAGGGTGGAAGGTGCTGGTGATGAGGTGCGGCGGCGGCGGTGGTGGTGGCATCGATGGCTTTGGCCGTGATGACCTCTAGATGTTGACGATGAGGCCGCGTGGAATCGATGATTCTACTTGGTATTCTCTCCACTCTTCCGCTGAAGAGGAGCGGTGGGTTCGATAGACACCGATGCATTGCTCAGAGCGAAGTGTTCTATCTCGTTCTAGATTTGAAGCTTTCGTGACTGCAAGGATTCATATTCTTAGGTTTTTTCGGTAAAGTCACGTAGGAAAAAAATTAAAATTAATAAAAGTAAAATAAAAATAAAATAAAAATCACGACGTTTGTGTTGCCTCCGAAACGTCGTGATTTTTATTTTATTTTTTATTTTACTTTTATTTATTTAAATTTTTTACCTACGTGACTTTACCGAAAAAACATAAGAATATGTTCTATCTCGTTCGGACAACGCTGCAGCGGCCCTTTTACTGGGCGTCTGTGAAAAAGAGCTTCATAGCTCTTTGTATTTCTCCAGTTTAAATAAATATTCTGATTCTGATGTTTTTTTTACTCCACCCCCCCCCTCTCTCCCCCCCCCTTTTTTCTTCTCATAAGCCACACGGTCGGTTGGTCAGGTTGACACTGTTACTGTTTGAACGGGAAGAAAAATATCTGAAAACCCTGCCGGTCATTTTTTACCGTTCCGTACGAACTGCATGCTGATCGAGTTTGTTTGAGCACGTGTTTCAACGTAAACACGTGCCCAGGGCGGCTTTATTTCGGCCAGAGCCGTCCTGAGCTGAGTTACAGAAAATACTTCCCTACTCCCCGAGGCCCCACATCTTCCTCAGCGTGGTGGGGGTGGTACAAGGGAGGGGGGGGGGGAGTTTTGTGGGTCCTCACAAAATATTAAAATATTCCGTGAGAAAGCAAGCCCCGTATGTGGCATTGGGAAGTTCCTTCTCGTGCAAGGAATCAAATCTTCGGTGCAAGGAATGGTGCGAGATGTTTATTGCCACGCCTGGTATGCAGGGGAGTCATGGGTTGGATCCCGACCCTGATGCCTGCTGTATATTTGGAGTTTGCGTGTCTCTCTCTCATCATCATCATCATCACGGTGGCTAGGAGATGTTAACTACCTCGCCTGGTATGCAGGGGAGTCATGGGTTGGATCCCGACCCTGATGCCTGCTGCTGTATATTTGGAGTTTGCGTGTCTCTCTCTCATCATCATCATCACGGTGGCTAGGAGATGTTAACTACCTCGCCTGGTATGCAGGGGAGTCATGGGTTGGATCCCGACCCTGACGCCTGCTGCTGTATATTTGGAGTTTGCGTGTCTCTCTCTCATCATCATCATCACGGTGGCTAGGAGATGTTAACTACCTCGCCTGGTATGCAGGGGAGTCATGGGTTGGATCCCGACCCTGACGCCTGCTGCTGTATATTTGGAGTTTGCGTGTCTCTCTCTCATCATCATCATCACGGTGGCTAGGAGAATGTTAACTACCTCGCCTGGTATGCAGGGGAGTCATGGGTTGGATCCCGACCCTGACGCCTGCTGCTGTATATTTGGAGTTTGCGTGTCTCTCTCTCATCATCATCATCACGGTGGTTAGGAGAAGTTAACTACCTCGCCTGGTATGCAGGGGAGTCATGGGTTGGATCCCGGCCCTGACGCCTGCTGCTGTATATTTGGAGTTTGCGTGTCTCTCTCTCATCATCATCATCACGGTGGCTAGGAGATGTTAACTACCTCGCCTGGTATGCAAGGGAGTCATGGGTTGGATCCCGACCCTGACGCCTGCTGCTGTATATTTGGAGTTTGCGTGTCTCTCTCCCCGTGATCGCGTGGATTTTGTCCGGGTCCTCCAATTCTTCCCTCCGCATTTAGAATCAACGTGCATTCAGATTAGCTGTATTTGACGGTTTGCCAGATGCAATCGATGTCATATCCTGAGAGAAAAGTGGTCGAACTGCTTTCCCTGGGTCTGCCAGAGAATTTTAGTGGCTGCATTCACGCCAATAAATTGTCACCATCTGGGTTTGGACACTATTTGGTCGGGATGTAATGATTTGTTTCAGTCGGGTTAAAATCCCGTGCGACCGTTTACGATTGATAGAAATTATATGGATGTTGTAATAGTCCGCACACTGGACGTGCAATGCAGAGATCGCCTTTTTACATTTGAACTCCCGGCGCAGCAGTTGAAACGACGGTGCCAGTTTCCTCAATATCCCCGCCTCTGTTTACCCAGCAGTACAAACGGGTTCAGACGCTGTCTTTCCGACAGACCTGTTCTTCACCTGAGGACGGCTGCTTGCGTTGTGGCCGAAACGTCGTGAGAATTATTTTATTATGTTTTATTTGTATTAGTTTATTATTCCCTTCTACGTGACTTTACCGATAGAACCAAGAAGAGGGTACACCACAGTTGATCAATCAGCAGGTCGCGTGTGGATGGAGGGAATCGCGAGTACTACCGCATCTTCCACGGCCATCTGGCCAGGGTGGAAGTGTAGGCCCATGTACCGTCCAGGACAGGGCTCGGTACCCTGCGGCTCCGGAGACGAACGCGGCTCCTTAAGGGGCTGCTGCTTCGTGACGTTGTTTATTAAGGAACCTACCGTCTCGTATTCACGTCGCGTTGCGGCTCTTGAGATATCGAGTTGTCTTCTTTTTTTTACCGAATTTTGATTGCCGAACCCTGGTCTAGGAGGACTCTCTAGAGCTCCCTCTAACCGGAGGGCCTTCTGCCGGCAGTGGCATGAGCAAGCAATTGCGGAGCTGCACCTTGACCTTTTTTTACGTAATTTACTAAAGAAAATACTGATGATTTGCAAACGTTATTTGGAGGCTCATGGAAGTGAATGAGATGGAGCAAAACGAAACGAAACCTACGACGAAGATAGTTACGCGCGAGACGTTGCAGACCAGGCAGGCGGAAAAATAATAATCGATTCCTGAATTAAATTGCGACGCTCGCATGTGACAGTTCATCAGTATTGTTGCTTAGCATGTAAACTGAACCTCTTGAAAGGCGCGCGTCGGTGTTTTGCTTCATCGATTGCTTCGGTGAAAGCTGCCACACAAATTCCTCTCCCGCACGGCTCCTGCAAAAAAAATTATATTCCTGCCAAGAGAAAGATTGTGAAGAGAGACGTGAAAGCTTACTGTGTGACGGCTGTTTTTACGCAGAGCAAAAGAGATGCAATGTGACAAGATGGTCTCGGGTTAATGTGCCCTCTGGGGTTAATGCACCCTCTGCCACAGACAGCTGTCCTATATTTGCAAATTCCTTCCCTCCCCCCAACCCCGTAGGGTTTTTTCCCCCATTGCGTTGCATTTTAAACTCTTTATTTTGTTTTCGGGTGAAAGTGCGGCCACTCCCAACTCCTTCGAGGAGTTTTTCGACGGGGTGGGAAGAGCTGGCACAAGATACCCCTCTTAAGAGTGGGAGGCCCTTCCGCCAACAGTGGCGCGCAGGGGCGCCAGACCTTGCAGGGCTGCGCCTCATATTTTTCACCTGTTTCAGGTCAAAAAGTCCCAAGTCACTTCAAATCTCCCGTGTACAGCCCTGAGTCTGTGGTTGGAAAATCCACATTCTTATGGCAGGGGATGCTGAGTCTATCCCAGTGTTCTTCACTAATTTTCATGGTGGGGGGGGGGGGCACTTTTGCCGAGAAGACATCAGTGCGAGGGCCGCCACGCCTCCTGTGTGTTGTCGGGGGGGGGGGCCCACACATCAGGGGCTGCACTAAAGGCCACCAGGTCAGAGGTCGCAACCGGGTACCCGATACCCGTACCCTACCCGATACCCGGCTAACCTTACCCGGCTGGGTACGGGTACCCGTTTGCGACCCTGGTGCGGCCGGGTACGGGTAGACCGTGAGTCACTGGTGAGTAACCGTTTGTCACTCATTTCCCAACGTCTTGTCTCTTCTCACAATTCAAGTTCCTAGAATCAACCCACCCGCGCCTGCAACGTGGCTTCATCCCAGAGGTCGCAATCAGGTACCCGATACCCGTACCCTACCCGTACCCGGCCGGGTACGGGTAGGGTAAGGAATCAAAACCCGTTTGCGACCTCTGCACCAGGGTCTACCAGCGGCCCGTTGGCTTTGCAATGAAGAACACTGGTCTAGCCGTGGCACACCCACCGTTGACTGAACCACGATCCGATTCTCTTGGCAATGTCGTCGGACAGGGATCCCCAAGATCTGCCTGTGGCCGGCCGCGCGGGGAAACTGCGAGGACAATAAGCCGCGCTACTTCTACAACGTGGAGAAGCAAGCGTGCGAGACCTTTCACTACAGCGGCTGCGATGGCAACGACAACAACTTCGCGAACGAAGAAACGTGCAAGCATGTCTGCTCCAAGGGTGAGCGACAAGGCAGTAGGTGGGGCGGGGGGGACACAGGGGTATCTCGTAGCGCCGGGCGAGCACAGGGAGTTGGCGACCGAAATACAGGAGACTGTCCGTTATCCGCGTGCGGTTTATCCGATTTTGAGGATTGACCGCGCCTGGGATTTTGACGTAAATTAATAACTTGCGGATTTTCCCTTTGAGACCAAATTAACGATCTAGACACATTTCGATTTAAAGCTTTCGTGACTGCAGGGATTCATCTTCTTGGTTCTTTCGGGAAAATCACGTAGAATGGAAATAATTAACGACGTTTCGGCCACAACGCAAGCAGCCGTCCTCAGGTGAAGACGCTGTCTCCCCGACAGACCTGGTCTTCACCTGAGTACGGCTGCTTGCGTTGTGGCCGAAACGTCGTGAGAATTATTTTATTATGTTTTATTTTTATTATTTTATTATTTCCAATCTAGACACAGTTGTGCATTGTTATTCTTGAAAACGTTCGTGACAAGTCACGTGCTTAAGCCGAACAAACAAGTGCTCCGGTTGATCCGAAATCCACGTGACCACCCCTGCAGTACAGTAGTTGCCAGATCTTTACAAGGGTGGGAGGAGTTTGATTGATGTTGCTTGGCGTGGCTCTGCTATCCACTTAGTGGGCGGACTCTTCTACGGGGGAGCAGGAAAGTGTTATCACTGAGCACGTGCATCCATCGGTGATTTATACCTATGCAATAATTGTCTTGGAGACGACTTTTGGAATCGGTCCTTTTATTGACTCAAGTTCACATTTACTCCAGTTCACATTTACTCCCCGCTGCTGGTAGGCAACGGAAAGTGGACAGACAGACCACGAGAGACGCACAGCCACGTGGCACTCGGAGCCCCCGCTCGCGCGTGGCCCCTTCCTTCCTTCCTTCGTTCCTCGTCTGACCACGTGTCGTTCATCTCTCCCCTTATTTAATACCCGGGTCACGTGGTACGCTCCAGCCAATCCTTGGTAGCCTGCGCCGAATCTTCTAGGTTCCCCATCAACTCCCGGGACCACGCCCCTGACTTGCCTTCCCATTGGCTGAGGCCAAAGCCAGCAGAACCAATCACCCGAGCTGGCACCTCTCGATCACGCCAGGGCCATGCTCCCAGGCTTCCCCCCCATTGGCTGTAAAGCAGCACCGGCAGAGCCGATCACCACGTGAGCCGGACATAGGCTCTTATTACACCTATATTCGTGGTGTTTGGCATAGATAATCCACGGAAAATGGTTCTATTTTTGGATTATCCCCGATTTTGTTTTTAATCCGCGGCCGTCCTCCTCGTCATTAGTGCGGATAATCGAGAGCCTACTGTATCAGAATCAGAATGTTTGTTTGTACCGGAGGAGGAATCCGATGAGCTATAAAGCTCTTTTTCACAGATGTCCAGCAGGAGTACAGGGTCAGAATGTTACAACAACAAACACAATACACGATAGAAGTCCAAAGTATAGGAAAGGTAAGCAATTCACAAAACATTTATATATACGAATACAACTAGACTATTCTAGATTTGAAGTTTTCGTGACTGCAAGGATCCATACTCTTTGTTATTTTCGGTAAAGTCACGTAGGTGAAAAAACAAAACAAATAAATTAAATCACGACGTTTCGGAGGCAACACAAGCTTCCCCCGTGACTTTGCCGAAAAAACCAAAGAGTATGAAGACGGAAGCTTTTGTTGCCTCCGAAACGTCGTGATTTAATTTATTTCTTGTCTTTTTTAACCTCCGTGACTTTACCGAAAAAACCAAAGAGTATGAAAACTCGACTATTTTATTTTAGCAGGTAAAGCCCACTGACCTATTGGCTTCCTTTTCTAAAGTGGATTGACCGATTGCACCTTGATATATAGAGGACCCACAGAGCTTGGGCGATTGTTAGTAGGCACCGGCTCAGCGCTTGGCTGCCTTCCTGCGCCCTCCTGAGTCGTCTTCGAGAGTGGGTGCAGCTCTGTGCGGTGCATGACAAGTTGAAACTAATATATTTTATATTATCAACTTAAGGTCGAGCTAACCTATTGGAAGCCTGGGCCAAGAAGGCTTCGTGCCACATGGCAAGGTATTCTTAGGAATCAGAGTGCCGAGTCAACACCGCTGAGATCCTAGATTCGTTTCTCGGTTTCACCCGCTCCTGAATGAACCGATTGTTTGACATTGTCCGTGTTGCTGACCCGTTAGTTCATTAGCAGAGCATATGCAATGATTGAATGTTCCTGATTTATAACTGCGGGTGTAATAACCGTGACAATACTACGCGCCGTCATATATCCCTTGACGTCATTCACAAGAGTAGGCCATTGTGTGTGCTGGCGTCAGGGTACAAATTTGCCAAAGTCGAAAATTGCAACGCCAAATGAGTCAGTTGGGACTAAACACACACAACAAATGAATGTCCCAGGTCACTCTTGCAAATGGGACTTATTCTGGCCTAAATTTCGATTTAAAACTTTCGTGACTGCAGGGATTCAGATTCTTGGTTCTTTCGGTAAAGTCACGTAGAAGGGAAATAATAAAATAATAAAAATAAAAACATAATAAATAAAATTCTCACGACGTTTCGACCACAACACAAGCAGCCGTCCTCAGGTGAAGAACAGGTCTGTAGGAAAGACATTGAGACGCTGTCTTTCTGACAGCTCTGTTCTTCACCTGAGGACGGCTGCTTGTGTTGTGGTGGAAACGTCGTGAAAATTTTATTTTATTATGTTTTACTTTTATTATTTTCTTATTTTTCTTATTCTGGCCTCTTGAAATGTCACACGGTTAAACACGAAATAAGATTAACACTTTTTCTTTAAGCACTTCCCTATTGACTGCACTAAACACTATTACATTAAATAAGTTTGTTTTTACTTAGTCTGGCTTATTCCAGCCTTGATATGGGATGTTTTCAGTTTGACATGCAGAACTTTGCACAAAGAATATAAACGACCAGTGCGATCTCAGTGTGCATTAAGGCGCTCAATGGAGCGACTTCAGAAATAGTTCTGTGATCTCATCTTCTGGGGCCCATTGTCAGCCAGGGCAGTAACCGTGCGAGCGGAGAGAATACTAAAACGGACTTTTCTTCATCTATTAACGCAATGCAAATTAAATTAATTCACACGTGGATCATCTGGTTTGCGGTGCTCTCATCGGTGTGCCGAGTCACTGCACGCACGATAAAGAAATAAAGGCGCAGCCCTGCAATTGTTCGCTGACACCACTGCTGGCGGAAGGGCCGCCACTGGAGGGAGCCCTAGACAATCACTCTGGAGGGTTTTGTGACCTACTGTTGCACGCTCGCCAGATGTCTTGGAACAGGAGGGAGTACCCACACTTTACCCCACTGCGTGTGACCTGCCAAACGCGACTGTGGTTTATCTGCTTATACTGCTGAGTGGACAGCGTTGGGGGGGGGGGGGCGGATTCAAGATGCTGGCACCGTTGTGTCCACTGTACGCATCGAACCAGTGACCTCGCGCAAGGGGGCCGACTAACTACATTCGCAAAAAACACCGTTCGCCACTAAGTGGCGGTGACATCCCCACGTCGCTTGTGCCAGTGCGCGGTGCATCTTGAGGCCACGTGAAGTGTTGGAAGGCTCGCAAGCAGGAGGTTGCTGAACAGACCCAGGTGCCGTGGGTTGACTGGTCGAGATGACTTGCTGATGCACACTACACTGCAACAAAGATCCTCCATGTAGCTTTAACAGACTCTTTGAGCAAGTGCCGTTTGCGAGCACCTATGAAGGCCGGCACGGCACACGAGGGGGTGGGTGGCCAGCACCATGCCCGGCCTCCTTTGTCTCCCCAGTGGCGATGTTTGCACACCGCAGCAGGTGCTCATTTGAGGCTGAGTCGACCTAGGGTTGGCCCAGGACCGGTTCGTATAATCGTCACTGGTGTTGGCCGTGAGCGGGAATCGAACCCAGGTCTCCAGGTTCGTAGTGCAGCGTAGCGCTAACCGCTCCACCACCGCTCCCCACACACGCACGCAAACTCATACGTACACACGTGCGCGTGGATTGTTGATTTAACCTCAATGTTTTTTGTTTCTTTCCCCCACTCCCCCCCGAAGACATGAGAGCCTCAACTTCGATGATCCAACCCAGAGGCAAACCATTCGCCAGCCGGATGAGAGCGGGCATGAGGACCAGGGAGTGGAGGATGAAGCAAAAACAACTTCGGAAGAACGGTGAACGAGCTGACCGCACGGAGCATCGAGGGCAGAACTGACAAGAGTAGACAATCGCAGCGCCGTCTGTAGTCGCGAGGTCGGTTGGGTTTCATAGCAAGAGGCACAGACCGTATAATTGACGTACTTACTTTTTTAATTAACCCGTTTCACCACTTTCGGTTGCGCCGGCCTAACTCAACGGAAACGAATGTGGCTGCGTGTGAAAGGAAGTGACTTGCGTCGAGGTGGGGTCACCGATGTTGATGGTTCAGGTGGCGGCGGCTCTCCAGTTAACTACATTTAAAAGTCACGCGCCCGTTCTTATTAAACGCAATGCGCCTATCCCTCGCATCGGCATCTGCCGTCTCCTGCGCATTTCTTACTCGCAGTATGCGCATACTTAGTTGTTATTTTCAACCCCCGCCCTCCCCCCGATATCATTACAAATTAGTGCTGTCGGTTATCGCGTGTCGCGAGTCAAAAAAAACATCCATTTGGAAATCTTGCGGAGCAGAGAAGCATCCCTGAGAACGGCTGCTGTGTAAGAGATTTTGGAAGGCGCCTTTTAATTCTCTATGCGCAGCAGGGGGGGGGGGGACACTGTCCTGCACGCTCGGCCACGCAAGTATCACGTGACCGTCAGACCCCCCGTATGTTTCATTCTCAGTGCCTGGGAACTTAGCCAAATTGAGTGCAAAACCTAATTTGACGCGATGTGTTATTTGTGCGGTCATTCGTTACTGGGTCCAGACTCTCAACTTGCGAGCGCTGAATAAGTACCCGGTTAATCACGGATGTGTGAAACCCTGGATTTGAACCCAGGTTCTCAGCATTGCCTGCTTAGTGCTCTGACCTCTGACCAACTGGCAACGTGAAAAAATAGTCATCAAGTTAGAGGTGCAGCCCTGCAAATCCTTGCTCATGCCACTGCTGGCATTGGGGCCTCCCCTAGAGAACGCTCCAGAGGGGACAGAATTTGGCCTACTCTTCCATGCTCACCAGATGTCTTGGAAGCAGCGGGGAGTACCCACACTGGCGCCATTGTTTCGCCCGCCAAAATCGAAAGGTCAAATCGAACCGGTGACCTCTGGATATGCGAGTGCGGTGTGCTAACCGCTACATCACGGGAGTGGGTTTGGTGTTTTCATAGCACGCATAGCTGGTTTAAACACCGCCTGCCAGTGGACTGTAATTGGTTCGTACAGCGACCTGAGCGAGGGACCTCCCCCCCACGTGCTCTTTTGCGGCCAGCGATGGAATGCATCGCGATTGATCTGGCAAAATATATATTTTTTAAGGTCTAACCCGGCGCTGGCCACTATCATCGACACTCGCGTAACCTCCGTCCCGTCCGCCGTTCGTTGTTACACAAAAAAAGAAACGGAACTGAGCAGAAACATGACGCAAACGAGCGGAGGCTCGGCTTTCGAGATGGACATTATTTTGTTAAATCGTTTTAAATCAGGTGTAATTGAGTTTTATCGCCTAAATTAACATTTCCAAACGGACTGAGAATGTAGGCTCTTGTTGCGTGCGGTTATGCACTGCGATCTAATTAAGCCATCAACAGGCATTATATTTGCAATGGTTACCACGCGGTGTACGATAGGTGTTAGAAGTCTTTAAATCAGCGGTTCTGAACCCATCTGGGGGTGGGGGGGGGGGGGGGGTAAAGGCGGGCTGTGTGGACAAGGGGTCTCCCTCCACTTGGGGGACCCGCCAGAACCCAAAAACAACAGTCGGGCCACTTACCGGGGTGATTCGTTTCAGAATGCGTTTCCACCAAATTTCAGTAGAATCTTTCCAACTCTGACAAATCTTACCTAGCAAAGTGTCTTTCGTGCAAGTTGTCCGCATCGCCAGCGACCAGTGTCGCGACGCAACGCTGGTCAGGAAAAAGCCACCCTGGTGTCGCTGCCCCGTTAGGAGACCTGCGAAACAAAAGAGCTTCCATGGCTCAACGCATTCCTCGGGTCTAAAGGGAAAGCTTTTCGGATCCTGAGCAAATTCCCCCATCGCACGGTTCGCCCGGCGTCGCGCCTGCTGGGCTCGCGTCCGAGCGAGAGCGCCATTCCCAACGGCAGCTCTCTCCAGTAAAACGTTCGACGTTCTGCGTTAAACGGCGATGACGACGACGACGCGAGCGTGGGGTGACAGGTGACGGGGGCCGGGGCGACGGCGGCATCTTGACCCTGTGTTCACGTGCAACGACGGTTCGCGTCGCATTGCTCCCACGCCGTGAGTCACCGTCATCCCATATCCAATTCCGCAGCTCTGATTGCCGTTGTGGGATTACGCCGCTGCGGAGCGATTTAATCATCGCCGCGCTCAATTTTTGCCGAATCGCATTCCGTCGTGGCCGCTGCTCCGTCCATCAATTGGACGTCAGCTTCTCGCCGCCATTGATAAAAGGTGGCGAGGTTAAAGGCGCAGCCCTGCAATGTCTTTGTCTCGCTCAACTGCTGGCGGAAGGGCCCTCCTCCAGAGAGAGCTCTCGAGGGGCCCCGCAAGACTTACAGTGATTCTGCGACTCAAGTCTCATTTGGAAGACTCACCTGGGTGACCAATAATGCCAGGGAGGATTAAAATAAAATACACTCCAGGGGGGCACTATAGAGAGCGCCCTCTGGAGGATATTTTACCGACTCCTCCACGCTAAGATGTCCCGAAAGATGGAGTACCCACACTTCACCCCACCACACGCAAACCTGCTGAACGCCTAATATGTTTCCATTGCCATGACTCTGCTCTATCTTTCCGGTGGGTGCGGTTCCCATTAGATCATCGCCACCGGCTGCGTTAACAGGAAAAACATTATAATTGACCAACGCAAAATGCGAGCGGCGCTCCGATGTACTTTCTCGGAGTTGTGCCTCACGCTCCGCACGATGTTCCAAACTTTTCGCCCCACGTGCTGCGAGCTTCCTCCGGGAACTCACCGTGCCGAACATTACGCGCGGCACAACCCGAAAACACATTGGAGAGCTGTGCCGCACAACCGCGAAAAACCTACGCGCACAGTCGTAAATGCGGCCGTGGGTTTTTCCAATAAACACAAACACACACACACAGATCGACGAACACGCTGTGATTTTGCGATGTCCTCGTGCTATTAATGTGCCTGTCAGTGGACGTAGCGTGGTTGGTATGGGCCCTTGTGCAAGGGAGGGAACGCCCCCACCCCCCACTTCCACCCCTGTTGCCCACTATTAGATTTGCCCTCACCCCCCTCTTCACAGCCCAGCACCCGAACCACTCTGGCCTGTTGGTCTCAGTGCAGTTGTACCGCCTGCACCGCTTCTCACAGCCGCGCCGCTGGTGCCCATGTTTTTGTTGAGGGTGGCGGGTAATTCCTTGCACGGTGGAAGAATTTGAATAAGAAGACTCGTAGACACCGCGGGTGTGTGTATGTTTGCGGTGTTCGCTGTGAAGTTGCGTGTACGCTCACTAATTGTTTTTCTAAGTACCAATGACGGTGCCTGTGGGGTACTTCCCCGCGAAGGAAACCAGACGATTGTGAATGTATATGTAAATGTACAGCGGCGTATAGCAAATCGGGACGTTATTAAATTGAATTCGGTTCGGGGTTAATTTGTTCAATTCAAGATACCAGGAGAGCCTCGTTAGCAAGTGATCCGGGTCACCAATATTGTGCAAAAGGACTAAAACTAAATTCGGTCAGGAGAAATAAGCAAAAAAATCGGGGTAGAACAACCACGTTACAGGCAAAAATAAAAAAACATACTGCACATATATACTTATATATTACAATGTTAAATTAACTTAAACTACCCGTAGCATATAAGCTGGCTTGGTTAAATGATTATTCATGACCCAATCCTCATTCACTATCAAAATAAAACTGATACTGTGCAGTCGCCCTTCGAGTCAATCCGCTGCAAGAAGCCTTACCCTCCCCTTTCCCCCACGCCACGTCGATCATGGGAGTTGTTTGACCATTGGGCTGTTGCAGTGGCCGGTCAGTGCGTGTTGGCGAGGTGGAGCAGAGGTGGCCCAGCACTGGCTTTATGCGTCACCCCCCCTCCACCACCGACGTTAGCCACGTGGCAGGCGTTGAACTGTCGGATGTGTGCTGGGGTTTGGAGCGCAGCGCGTGACACCACTGGGGTCAATGCCTGTCGGGTCACAGTCACGCGTTGAGATGGACGTCGATTGGAGCGTTGAGTGTGTGCGTCGCGCGAAAAGAGTTTTTTTGGGATTTGGAGAAAGTAAAAAAAAAGACAAGTGCATTCATTTTGGGGCTGCGGGAGCCACTCCTCTGAGCGAGCACCTTCCTATGACAGCCCGCAAGGCCAACAGATGGGGCGTTGTGGTCTTAGATTTGAAGCTTTCGTGACTGCAAGGATTCATACTCTTAGGTTTTTTCGGTCAAGTCACGTAGGTAAAAAATAAAAATAATAGAAATAATAATAGATTCATAATTTTATTTCTATTATTATTTCTATTATTTTTTTACCTACGTGACTTTACCGAAAAAACCTAAGAGTATTCGTCAGGTCGTGTTGTGTTGTCGAGCGGTCGCTTCATCTTGTGAGGACCCTCTTCCTCGCTTGCATTATGAGACGCTGCGGCATGCAAGACCCGCACCAAAACGTGTGCCCTGCGTCAATGTGTGTACTCGTCCGATCAATTACACGCTCACACCTCTGCACGCGGATTACAAGATGCACGTAACACGTTTTGCTTATAAAATACCGATTAAAAAAATATATAGTGCGTCTTATAATCCAGATAGAATATACGGCAGTGGTGATCTTAACCGTGGCAGAATTAGTGTTGTTTTATCGTCTGTCATGGTCACCAAACACTATGGCTTAACGGCACGACGAGTATAACTCACGTCGTATTTTGTTCGTCGTGTTCGTCTCACTAAAGAAAAGTTGTAACGTGATTTTGTTGTTTTTGTTGTTATACGCTTGCAAAAAAATATATTTTATTTTCACACTTCAGTAATCGATGCACTACATTTTTCTTCTTATAGAGCAACAAACACAAAATCCGAGTTATGTTCACCATGTAAATAATAAAGGGCACTAAACCAAAAACGCCGGACAGCACCACGTGTCGTTGCACGTAATGGGCCAGCGGTGTCTGTGACGTAGTCAACGGCAATGCTGTGGCCACGCTTCTCGTACGCGCGTGTCTTTTTTTAAAATCCTTTATATTAAGTTCGCTTGCTTGCTTAGGACCGTGCAAATCTTTCGGTCGTTTTTTAACCCACTTCCCGTGATCCAATCGAGCTCACATTTTGCACACAGACTCGTTGTGCGAGACAATTAATGTTCGTGAAAATTTTTTCCCAAAATTTTACACTGTTTAGGGAAAACAAATTAAATATTTAATTACCAATTGCTTAATACTGGCAGACAATCATCTGACCCATAGGTGGCAGCCATCGCAAGCCAGAGGACGAGGGGACTCTAGCCGCCACGCATATAAAGGATTTAGAGTGAAAAACTTTGTTTTTACGGGTTATACTTATTTTTCTTTCTCCTGCTCAATAGTCGCGCTCACGTGCGGTGTGACCCCGGTGTGACCCGGGGTCCCAGAGCGATGTGGTTCGCAATCGCAACGCTGCCAGTCGAATCCTGTTTTGGTGGGTCCGGGGGCTGTGGGTGGGGGTTGACTCAGCCAATCATCCCGCTCTCTAGAGTCGACTAAATGAGTAACCACGTGGTGGAGAGGTCAACAATCGTCCTGTGGATGTACTCGCCCGCCGCCGCCGCCATATGAACGCGGAATTTCCACCGCCGGCTTACGCCTGTAAACAGGAGAGGAGTAGATGTCCTCAAAGCTCGTCTGAAAAGGAAATTCCTTAGACTTTAGATTTTTAGTCTCGGTCTGTTTATAGCTAATCCCCAGTGTCCAAAACATGCCATCAATACAGCGAGATTGAAAGCGTGAACGTTAATTTGTGTATGCTAATTTTGTCTCATTAGCTGCAGCGGTTTTTTTTTGTGTTGGCGTCAGCGCCAGCGTAAGTAAACACTCTTTTTCTAAAGCATGATTGGGGAAATAAATACGTTTTAATTTTAAACGCGTGATTGTTGCAAGGTGTCCATGCCGCAACTATCTTCACTCCCACAGTCACGTTGTGACGTGACTGTACAAATAGTTTACACTATGAGACCTCCTTTACCAGTGGCAAATATAGTAGTAGGTTCTATTGGGACATCATTTGCCAGTAAAAAATATGATAATTCGTTTTTTACCCTTCTATCTGGCAACAAAACTGACACCTTTTTTTTTACAAGGAGTCATGTTTGCATAGACCACAATACCTGCAGCCATAATGCAAAAAAAACATAACTCTGATAATATATGCACTGTCCTTGAAGTTCATTGGTCCACAACCGAGACAGCTTTTCTTAGAGCCTTTTGGCGTCATCTGGTCCAACACCAATGGAGACTAGGCTCTAAGAAAAGCTGTCTCGGGTGTGGACCAATCAACTTCAAGGACAATGCATCTCATTATCAGAGTTGTTTCTTTTTGTTTGCATTTTGACTGCTTGTGTTGTGGTTATTGCAAACATGATGCCTTGTATAAAGGTGTCAGTTTTTGTTACCAGTTTAAGGGGTAAAAACCTACTACTATACAAATAGTTGTTGTGGCTGACAATCCACTGCTGGATGGAGTTGAACAGCGATGACAGTGGTTGGGACGCCACGGTGGCGAGATGTTAACTACCTCGCCTGGTATGCAGGAGGTCGTGGGTTCTATCCCAACCCTGACGCCTGTTTTTGTTGAGTTTGCGTGTCTCTCTCTCCCCTGGTCGAGTAGATTTTTCTCTGCTTCCTCCGGTTTTTCTCCGCGTCCTCCGGTTTTTCTCTCCACACTTAGAATCAACATCACGCGTTACGAGTATTTGGCTGCTAAACATTTTCACATAATGAGCAACTTCATTCAAATATAATTTGTGACCGGGTCGCTTCAGAAAAAAATATCTATATAGCTCAAGTGGGCCTCACCTAGTAAAAAAAAAAAAACAAGTGAATAGTTTTATAGATGTTATTTGGATAATTTTTTACCACGCTGGCGAGATCAGAATCTATATTTAGACTGGAGGAATTCGATGAGCTTATGAAGCTCTTGTTTCACAGATGTCCAGTGTAGATGTCGTGTAAGAGGGCGGGAAGCACACACGCTTTACCCTCCGCCGCACGTGACCTACCGTTCGACTCGCTCTGGAGTGACCCGTTCACACTGTTCGGTGCACCATGCAGAAGAGGCACGGAGGGGATTTTAAGAAACTCAACAGTCCCAGCTGCCACGCTGTGAGATGGAATCGAACTGGTCCCCTCTGCATCGGAAGAGGTCCGGCGCGCTGACCGTCACACCACAAGTGGAAGCAAAATTGAATACAAAAACGTTATGTAAAACAGTGGAAAAATACAGCAGAATTTCACCAATCAATCACACGCACGTACACACAAAGACAAATATCCCCTCGCATAGCAAGTTCTGTGAGCGAGCAGCACTTATGATGGTGGCAAGGCACACGAGGGATGGGGTGGCCAGCACCACGCCCGGCCGCCGTTGTCTCCCGAGTGGGAATGTTTACGCACCGCACCAGGTACCCATTTGAGGCTGAGTCATTCTAGGGGAGGCCCAGGACCGGTTCAAATATTCGCCACTGTTATCGGTGGTAATGTAGCGCGCTAACCGCTGCACCACCACTCCCCACACGTACACACAAAAGACAAAGATCTCCCGTATAACCTTAACATATTGTTGGGGCAAGTACTGTTAGCGAGCACCTACACAAAAAGACAAAAATCCCCCGTATAGCCTTAACATACTGTTGGGGCAAGTGCTGTTCGCGAGCACCTCCACAAAAAATGACAAAGATCCCCCTCATAGCCTTAACATACTGTTGGGGCAAGTGCTGTTAGCGAGAACCTACACAAAAAGACAAAAATCCCCCGTATAGCCTTAACATACTGTTGGCGCAAGTGCTGTTATCGAGCACCTACACAAAAAGACAAAGATCCCCCGTGTAGCCTCAACATACTGTTGGGGCAAGTGCTGTTCGCGAGCACCTACACAAAAAAACAAAGATCCCCCGTATAGCCTCAACATACTGTTGGGGCAAGTGCTGTTAGCGAGCACCTACACAAAAAGACAAATCCCCCGTAAAGCCTTAACATTCTGTTGGGGCAAGTGCTGTTATCGAGCACCTACACAAAAAAGACAAAGATCCCCCGTATAGCCTCAACATAATGTTGGGGCAAGTGCTGTTCGCGAGCACCCACCCAAAAAAGACAAAAACCCCCCGTATAGCCTTAACATACTGTTGGGGCAAGTGCTGTTCGCGAGCACCTCCACAAAAAAGACAAATATCCCCCTCATAGCCTTAACATACTGTTGGGACAAGTGCTGTTAGTGAGAACCTACACAAAAAGACAGAAATCCCCCGTATAGCCTCAACATACTGTTGGGGCAAGTGCTGTTCGCGAGCACCTACACAAAAAAAGACAAAGATCCCCCGCATAGCCTCAACATACTGTTGGGGCAAGTGCTGTTAGCGAGCACCTACACAAAAAGACAGAAATCCCCTGTACAGCCTTAACATACTGTTGGGGCAAGTGCTGTTCGCGAGCACCTACACAAAAAAGACAAATATCCCCCTCATAGCCTTAACATACTGTTGGGGCAAGTGCTGTTAGCGAGAACCTACACAAAAAGACAGAAATCCCCCGTATAGCCTCAACATACTGTTGGGGCAAGTGCTGTTCGCGAGCACCTACACAAAAAAAGACAAAGATCCCCCGCATAGCCTCAACATACTGTTGGGGCAAGTGCTGTTAGCGAGCACCTACACAAAAAGACAGAAATCCCCTGTACAGCCTTAACATACTGTTGGGGCAAGTGCTGTTCGCGAGCACCTACACAAAAAAGACAAAGATCCCCCGCATAGCCTCAACATACTGTTGGGGCAAGTGCTGTTAGCGAGCACCTACACAAAAAGACAAAAATCCCCCGTATAGCCTTAACATACTGTTGGGGCAAGTGCTGTTATCGAGCACCTACACAAAAAGACAAAGATCCCCCGTATAGCCTCAACATAATGTTGGGGCAAGTGTTGTTCGCGAGCACCTACACAAAAAAAGACAAAGATCCCCCGTATAGCCTTAACATACTGTTGGGGCAAGTGCTGTTATCGAGCACATACACGCGCGCGCGCATGACTGCTCGGGTGTTCATCGCGTGGCGTATTTTGTTGGGCTGGCGCCTTCTCGGTCGGCCGTCTTGTTTTCTTCTCTGATAAGGTGAAAGAGCGCGTTGAGTTCTCCAACCATTACAAAAGCTGCTCCATCCAGATGCCCTTCAAAAAAACAAGTGGGGAAACACCCCTAAGGGGGTTGGGGGGGTGGTGGGGGGGTCTGCCTCCGGCTGATAGAGGCTCTTGTTTGCGGGGGTTTTTTTTCCGTCCCCCACCCCTCCGGAGGCGAACGCCGCGTTGCTATATTCTCATGGGAACGTATCCCCCCCCTGTGGGTTCATGCGTGTGGGAGCGATGGGATGGGAGGGGTTGGGGAATGCCTCTTCTGGATTCGCGAGATGCCCTTTTTAAATCCTTTATATTAAGTTCGCTTGCTTGCTTGCGTGCTTGCTTGCTTGCTTACGACCGTGCAAACCTTTCGGTCGTTTTTTAACCCACTTCCCGTGATCCAATCGAGCTGACATTTTGCACACAGACTCGTTGTGCGAGACAATTAATGTTCGTGAAAAAAAATTCCTAAATTTTACACTGTTTAGGGAAAACAAATTAAATATTTAATTACCAATTGTTTAATACTGCAGACAATCATCTGACCCATAGGTGGCAGCCATCTCAAGCCAGAGGACGAGAGGACTCTAGCCGCCACGCATATAAAGGATTTAGAGTGAAAAACTTTGTTTTTACGGGTTATACTTATTCCATTGTTTTACGTCTGCGCGCCTCCGCGTGCATTCGAGAAGCTACCCTCGCTTTGAGCGATGGCGAGGGGGGGGAAGTCTTTTGTTTGTTTGTTGTGGGGTGGGGGGGGTTTCGTTGTCATCT